GCAAGAACAGCAGCAGCAAGAACAGCAGCAGCAAGAACAGCAGCAGCAAGAAGAGCGCAGCAAGAACAGCAGCAGCAAGAACAGCAGCAGCAGCAGCAGCAGCAGCAGCAGCAGCAGCAGCAGCACTAGCAGCACCAGCAGCACCAGCAACGCCAGCACCAGCAACACCTTTCCAGCATGATCCACCAAAGAACCCCCCGTACAGACGGCCATGCCTTGCCGCGCTTCATCGACACTGCGCCGGGGCTGAAGGCGACGCACTTCACACCCCAGTGGTGGCCTTGCTGCTTCAGCACCTGGGCTTAGCTTCCTCACGCCGCCGCTCTTGGTAGGTCTTTGATTTTGTCACAACTTGCAGCAGGCAGCCCCAGCACAAGACTAAGGGCCTCCCAGCCAAGTTTCAAGAGGTCCGGCCGTTTTGATCGGTTTGGGTCGGTTTGGGTGGCATCTTATGAAACGGCTCTGGGCCGCGGCGCGTAGGTCTCCGAGCGCCACTCCCAGACCAGCAGCTGGCCCACCCCTGCGCTGCCAACCTGGGCTCAATGGCACTATGGCGAAAGGGAGTGAAAGCACGCAGCCGTCAGAGGGGGAACAGCCAGAGGCGCTTCAACGCGAAGAACTGTCGGCTCAACCAGAACCTCTCCATGCTAGGCCGGCATCACATGATGGATCAATTATTCTACAGACCAAACTTTGTTGCAACTAGGACCTGGCACTTGCATAATATGGCAGCGCTGTTTTTTTTGATGAAGCGCAATCATACATGCTGGATGGCTGTTTCAAAAGATCCTCATGATAGCATAGCCTGCCTCTGCAAGTCATGTTTTGGAAATGCTGGTGGAACTTTCTTGTTGTGTACCCACAATACCAAGCCTCATCCCATATGTCATTCTTCTTTCTTTCACCCTCATTTCCGATAGGGGTAGGGATCATCAGACAGAAGGGGCAATACACGCTTTGATTGAAGTCAAGGCTTGGCAATGAGCTTGGTCTTTGTGGGCCAGCCAAAAAACGACAGGTAGGTGGCAAAGCAGGTTTCCCTCGCCACGCCCAAGTCTCACCAAAGGACCGCGCTTAAGTCCGAGCAGCGGCCAGCCAATCCCCCTTGGCACCCAGGCGGACAGCATCCAAGGGCTCCTGGCCCAAGCTCAAGGTCTGCAAGGCTTGCAGCGACGGCATCCTGGGCTTTCTTTTCTCTGAAGAGCTTTGCGGGTCGCTGCCAAATGCCGACGAAGCAGTGTGGGGGGGGGGGCAGTCAACTCCCTGCAGAGCAAGGCCGTGAATTGAAGGAACCTCCTTCCCTTCCAATCTTCAATCGAAGCCGCAGAACCCGGGAAACCCCGCTTTCCGGAAAAAAATATACTGCGCTGAAACTTGGCTCCAGCCTTCCAGTTTGGGGAGTCCGCGCTTCGTTCGCTGAATCTGTGTCCGGGCGTCTCGAAGAGCATGAGCACCCCCAGGCTGAAGCCCACCGCCATCAAGGAGCCATCGAAGTCGCAGCGGGTCACCTTGTTGTACTGCGGCTGCTGGCAGGAGGCCTTCCACGAATCGCTCGAACGAAAAAGAAATTACACCTGCACCCACGCGTGCCTCCCTGGCCCTGCCGTCAAAACCCGCCTATGCCATCAGCAGCATCCAATAGCACCCCCCAAACAGCACCCCCCTCGCACCCGTCAATTTCCCCACACACCCGGCCGCCAATCTCTCAAACATGCGCCCGCACCGTCACCAGCACCTCAAGCACGCCAGAGCAGCACCTGCACCAGCACCCCAAACCCCGTAGCATCCTGCCGTCACTCTCGCAAAAATGCGCCCGCATCATCACCAGCACCTCAAAACAGCACACGCACCAGCACCCCAGACTGCATGCCCCCTAGCACCCAGCCGTCAATCTCGCAAGTCAATTTCAGAAGCTAGAACCCCATAGCGTTCAGCTATCTGGGGAAAAAAAAGAGACTTGGAAAACGCGGTTTGGATGGGTGGTTTGGTTCAACAAAATTTTCCCATTTAGCCTCTACAAGAGCCAGGGGTTCAAATCCCCAAACCACCAATCCAAACCCAAAAAATACCTGAACACACACACACACACACCAAAACAAAAAAGAGATGCCAACAAAACGCAGCCGGGCATGTCGCATGTTGTGAGGCCGAAGGAGCGGCGTCCGGCCTTGGCTTCGATTGCCCAGGTGCCGGGCAGGCAATACAAGGGCTTGCCGCGGTCCTCGGGGCTGACATCCTCGTCCAGGGTGTACTTTGCTGAGACCTGGCGCAGAACGTGGAAGAAGAAAGGTCAGCAAACACCAAAACTTGTCCCGAATGCGAACCAGAGGCACTTACAGCCACGCGGGGCACCACGTGCGGACTCTTGAAGGATGGCAGGGTTGTCTATATGTGCAACCGGACGCGCCGGGTCTGCTGCAGTTATAGATAAAGTGGGACGCCCACCAAAAAAGAGAGTGTTCACCTTGCGCTGCTATTTCATTCACTGGTTCTGACACAGCGTGATGCAAAGGAATGAACTGCACGGGACGACCAGGATAAATACCAACGCCTGCCAAGTTCCATGGAATTATTTTTCTTGTCCAAAGCGGGCGCCCAAGCATTGACTAGTCTTTCCGCAACATGGCAGCATTCGTTGAACGTTGCGTCCTTTTCATGCTGTCCAAGCCGCCAACTCTCCATTCCTCGACCTCAGTGCACCGCGTCCGCTTCAAGTCCGCAAACAAACTCCTGCTTGCGCCTGGCCTATGGTGAAGAGCCTCTAAAAACTTGCTGGCGCGCCGCAGGGGAAGAGAAATTGGAATGCCCCCCATAAACGGTTCATCCAACTGGTGGTTTCCTTTGAGGGGACCCCTCATTCCCGGCAAGAAAAAAAAAACGGCGCTTTTTGGAGACCAGGCGCATGCTGTAGACATACTGCAGGTCATCGGAGAAGAAGACGCCCCGCACCGGGCTCCGGTGCTCCAGCAAGGCCACCGGCTTGAAATTCTCCATGTACCGCACGGACCACACGCGGACTGAGCCGTCCTGGCCACCGGGCTTTCGGGTTTGTGGCACCCCACCCGTCTTGCACGTGGAAACTCTGACGTTTCGCCTGGACAAATGTTGTTCACCATGGTCCTTTCAAAGGGATCCAATTTCGGTCCGGTCAGCTTCCACGTTAAAAATGGTAGGTGGAAGCGCTGAGTCGCGCATGTGGCCGGAGTCATAAACTCAAGAAACCTGGGTATTCCACGGGTCGATCCCCAAAGTGTCGCTCGCCTTGGAGCAGGAGGCGAAGAACTGGGAGTTGGAGGCCCAGGCGTAGTCCACCACGTCGTCGTGATGGGAGGCCAGCACCTGACCCAGTCTCTCGTCTCACCAAAAAAAAAAAAAAAAAACGCAGGAGTCGAATGGGTCGATGCCAAGAACCTGTCAAGCATTGAGCAGGCGGATATCCGCACCCATTTCTAGCAGGGATTTAAAAATGGTCTACCCAGAACCATGCTTCAAGAATTGAACAGGCGGCGTGAACAGACGGCCGGGATTTCCCCTTACTGCCCTCCAATTGCCCGGGTTTTGATTGTGACTCACTTGCGCAACTGCCTTGTCCTTCACGAACTGCCAGCCAAGCTCCACAGTGGGACTCCTGCCAAGCTGCTTGGGTGCCACTGTGCCGTCAAAATGAACCAACACCTTTTGTGGTATCTGATGAGGTGCTGTCGCGATCTAAGCCTGACAGTTGCTTCAGCCAGCCCCCCGCTCACACACTTCTCATGCGTAGTTTCCGTTTATCGCTTAACAAAGCCAGCCGCAAGAAGAAGGCTGAAAGCCTGCGAGCCATGCACCGAAAGTTGCTCCTCCAAAGCATCGTCTTACGCCCGTGGCTGACCACAAGCCACTTGCCGTCTGGGCTCCACTTGGCGCTATGCACCCTTCCCTTGAAGTTAATGCGCGTGAGAATGGAGCACCGCACAAAGTTGATGAGCAAAGCCTCAGTCAGGGTCACACTAAGCCGGTCAAGCCCCCTGCGCTGGATGGCTGTTCCGACCAAACGTCTAGGGGTTGATTCCCCATTCCTTTCAACCATCGTTCTTTTCAAAACACAGCCGTTTTCCCTGGGTTTCCGGAGGTTTTCTAGAAAGATCCGGATCCCTGGAAAGAATGGCACCCAAAAGTTCTACCGCACTCCCCGGCCCCAGCCGGGCCGCATGCCCGCTGACATCAATGGACAGCAGCAGCCGGGCATCCTGCACAGCTCGGTTTTGTCTCTTCACGGTTTAGTCTCACCTCGTCCGCCTCACATGTGGGCCACCTGGGGTCTGGGTATGAGTCAAAGTAGGCAAACCTTCCTGACTGCTGGCGGTAGGCCTTTCAGCTCCCGGCTCCCCGGCTCGCTTTCTTTCAGCCTCCCTCAGCCATCGAATGTTGGCGGCTATGTTTTCAGCAAGAGTGTGCAGCGGAGTGCGCAGCCTCGGCCGCAAAGTCAAGGGCAACTGAATGAAATGCAGAACAGCTGGGCTTGAGGCAATGCACGTAGAAACTAGACGCCTGTTCGATGAGGTGCCGGTGGACAAAAACATGTCAAAACAAACACTTGCGCCCAAAAGTTCCAGGTATATAGGTGACGTGCTAAGCCATGATCCTGAAAAGGCCGCGGATACATCCGCGGGAGAGTTACATGCGACGTGCGATGCGGGAGGCGTCCATATGGGTGTGGCTCAAAATTTTGGAGCTCGGGGTGGCTACGCAGGTTTCGTACTTCCATTTGCCAAGGGTGCCATTTTGGCGCATGTCTTTGAGCCAGCCATATTGGTTTATATAACCTGGGAGCCTTGAAAAATCGATGCCCTCTGTTGTTCGGAAGCACCTCGATGCGCCCGAAAAAGAGCTCGTCACACGATTGTCTACCCACCTGGGAACGCGTCTTGGCGAATTCGCTTGACTTCCGCGGTGGCGGAGGGTCCTGAGTCAGCGCCAGCACCGCCACGTCTTCGCGGTTCTCTGGCTCCAAGGTAACCGTCCTGCAGCCAGGAAACCCCGGCCGGGAACCCAAGCCGAAAGCCCCAGGCCGCAACATCCGCGTATGATTGTGCTTCCCCCCAAAAAAATGAGAGCGACCAGATGCTGATTTCCCTTCACACGAGGATGGATGGTAGGCATGCTGAATTCGCTCGTCTGCCGAGTGTACCATCATGCACTGCACCATCGAGTCCTGCCCTGCACCAAGTCTACGCCGCAGATCCGGTTGCCCACCGGGCTCAGGAGCACATTGCCGTCAGGGGTAAACCTTGGAGCAACTTGGCCCCTCGACGCGCGCGGGAAGCCAAGGCGCGTGTTTCCCGGCGAGGCCCCCGCTGTTTGTAGGTTTGCAGGCAATTTGTCGCCGACAAATTGGCTGGTGAGCCTAAAAGATGCATCGGTCAGACGAAAAAGTAAACTGGATCCCCGGATTTTCTGTGCCGCGCCAAGATGCACCCAATGTGCTAGACCAAGTTTTTCAGATGAGCTCACAGGGGCGGACCCGGCTTCTTGCTGGGGGCGCCTATCCACACGCGGCGATATACACAAAAAGGGGAGGCTTTCTTGGGAGTAGATTGGGGACATCTGGGGCGCTGTGCGGGACTTGCGTGGACGAATCGCTGTTTTCCTTCTGGCTGAGGCGTGGCTTACGACGGAAAAGCAGGTCCAAGTGTGCGGTGTCAAGCGAGTGTTTGCCACAGGCAAGCAAATCTTTTGACTGTCTTTGGCGCAGTTTGCGCTGGACCTACGCCTTCCTTTGTGCCAGCCATCAGAGTTGCACGGCTGGTTTGGCCACCCTCCTTCAAACTCCAAGCGGCGCAGCGCATTTGATGGGTCCCAGACAAATTGGGATCATTCCTTTGACATCCAGGATGTTTGTTCCACTCATTTGTTCGCTGGGCACCGCTTCGAAGGCAACAACCCTCGACTTTCACATTCGCAGTTGTCTTGGACCTGGACCTGTGCTCGCCTTCCGCTGAAATAGATTGGCTTGCAAACGAGTTCGTACACGCCCCTCGACCCTTCAAAAGTGCTGCTCAGCTTCTCCAAACTTCCGCCCCTGTAGGTTGCCCCCAGCAGGTTCGTGAAGCGGTAAGAGCTCATCGATGCGCCATGAACGGGCACAGGAAAAGCTGTATCAAAGTTGCTCCCAGTTGTCACCTTCTGCTGGGCTTCGGCCTGAGAGATATGTTTGCAAAAACCAGCCGATGGGAAGGCCCTGCAAGAAAGTCAGGAAAGTGCATCAGCGCACTGAGTCAAGGATTTCTGGAGCTGGCAAAGCTCACTGTCCCATGTGTCTCCATGTTTGCACTATGAGCCGCAGGATGGCAACGTTCGCGTGCTTCACCCCGACTCCATGATTTGGGGGCTATCAAAGTGCAAAGGCTTGGGCTGCATTTCGAAACACAGTGCTGTCGCAAGTCTGATTCACCCCAGTTGTGCTTCATGCAATGGGATCGAATCGTTTTCTCTCCTCTCTTTTTCTCTTTTTAAGTTCCCTCGGGCACAAGCAGATCTTGAAGTCTTGACTCCTCAAATCTGCCCCCGCCCCACTCGTACCTGCCACTCGTGTACCCTGGCAATCGCATAGGCCGCCTTGAGCAACCGGTGCCATCGCACCTGCGAGTGGCAAAACAAACTTTGCCCCTTTTTGGAGAGGCAAACCAAGATATGTTATTCAGACACGGGCCTTTGGCTTCCTTGCATGCTTCGGAGTGTGGGGGTTCTTGTTTGGTTCGCTGGAACTCACGCATCTATGCATAGATGCATAGAATACCGCAAAGCACACATATAAAGGCTGCAGCCGATCACGCAACGATCTTATATAATTAGCTCCAATGATCAAAACCGCCCATAAGTTACCACGTTCGACCAGAAGAAATCAAAGCTTCCGCGGCAGCACACTTTGCAACATGCCCCGCGGAAGCTTGCACAACACTCCGCACCCTGAACCGTTCAGCGGAGTCCCGTTCTGGCGCCAAGACAAAATTTAACTTCTCATTACATGGTGTTGGCACGCTGCTCACACTTTATAGCCAGCAGTTACGTGGGCTTCGGATTTGCATAGGGCCCTGGCTGTGCGAGCAACTCGAACATCTACATGCACGGCGATGGCTTGAGGCCCCGCCTCGGCAATGCAAAGCCTTGAGCCGGAAGCAAAACAAGAAGAGGTGTGTGTGTGTGTGTGTGTGTGTGTTTTTTTTCCCGGGCAAAACCGGACATTGAAACTTTGCTGCACCTACAACTAGCTTTTTTTTCTCCCGGATCCACCTCCAGCTATATTCGGCTGTGGCTCAAAAAAACGGTACCAAACTGGAACCCTGTAAGAAGAAACATGGACCAAAATTCTGCGGATTGCCCCTCCTCTTTAACTTTGAGCCACGGCCTGCTGTTTTTTTTACCCTCGCTTCCGCGGGGCACACCAGCGGGAAGATTCTCTTAGCGCTTCGCCCTGTGGGGCAGCTCCGCCACGCGGGCCGCCAAGGCTTTGGCCACGCCCTGGGCTTGGCTGCGCTCGGGAGGTTACTTGGCTGTGGGTCAAAAATGGGTAGCCAAAATGGGTTGCCCTGGTAAATGGAACCAACGACTAAAACGTGCGGTCCCCCGGTGGTTTCATTTTGACCCATACCCACTTGGCCAAAGCCCGACCCCCAGTGAACATCCGATTCAATCCAACCACTAAAATAGGTTCTAAAATGGGTGGTGCACCTACCCCAAAATGGTCCCATTGGGTTTGACCCACAGCCACTTCTGTCTCTCAAAGGGGCCTGCAAACCGAGCAAGCGTCATGAAGTGGCTACTCTTACACTAAAGATTTGGGCTCTAGGAATCGGACCCCCCAACATGGGTGATGTGCAATTGGTTTTCCCTTTGCAGCCATCCAAAAAAGGGCAGCCGCGAAAAAAGACGCGCCCATTTTGGGGATACACCCTAGAGTGAGCTACGCTGGATGGGACGCTTGAAGCGTATGGAAGCTAAGGAAAGCAATCCAAAAGGCCCAGAATGGCTCATCAGCAGGCTTCTCAACAAGTGGGCGTGGGTGACAGTTGCAAGGCCCCCCAGCCCCCCCCCCCGAAAAAATAGTAAAAGGAGAATTCAAAGAATTATTCTTTCTACTATTTTTTCCAACAGCAACACAACAAACAGAAAACAAAATCCAGAACAACAAGCAAACAAAATAAATAATCACAACCAGCAACAAAAATATTTAATCACAGCATACAACATTAAATAATGCAAACAAGCATACCAACAAAACAGCAACACACTAAACCATCAAAGACACTCAACTCAAAAACACACATCAACAAAAATCAAAGCAACATACCAACAAAAAATATCACAAGAGTATCAAACAAAATAAAAACAAACAGCCAAAGCACGAAAAAACTGAAGAAGCATACCAAGTCTAAACAACGCACTTTGAAAGAGATAAGCAAATTAGGAAAATATAATAATTCAATCTTTACAAACGATAAGTATAATATAATTATAACATATAATATTTTACATGTGATAATTATATTTCAATTAAGAATTAAGGATTTAAGATAGCAGTCAGGCAATATGTCTTCAAAAATGTAATCTACAAATTTATCAAGATCACCAATGTCTATATATTTGATATTGTATTTTCCTGTTATTGAATAAATATATTCCCAAAAGAATAAATACAGCAATAGACATACTTTATATTTAGTGTTGTAGTAATACCAGACATGATATTTAGTTATTCTAAATTCATTCAAGACCTCGTTGATTTTATCTTTGCTTAATAAATGCCAATCAATCTCAATGCCAATCAATTCTTCAAACAAATCACAAAATTCTTTAGCAAATGATTTGTATGGTTTAATGTGTAATTAGGTTGGTGTGCCTTGTTGTCTCCTTCATAATAGTAATGTTGAGTTGATTTATATGTATTATTCTTTTTTGGTTTGTTTGTTTCAAAAACTGCTTTTCTATCAATAACATCACTGATATTCGGTTTGTCTTTATTTTGCGGTTCTGTTATTCTATTTACAACGTTGTCATAAATTTCTCTACGACGCATAAGCAATTGTTTCTTATCAATAATCATTATATATAATACTAATTAGATTATAAATATATTTATCAAATAATTTTACTTGCTAAATTATTAATTTTCTGTTTATTTTTATTGTCTCGTTCTGCCTTCATATTATTGTATCTATCTTTCGCGGTTTCAAATACGTTATTAGCAGTTGTTTCTAAATGTTTTTTAAATCTTTCTTCTACCTTTTCCTGAACACGCTTTTCTATTTCATCTTCATTTATGTTTGGCAACTTATCTTTAACTTTTTCATATACATTATTCTCAAATTATTTTGCTTGTGCAGGATGCATAATTTTTCTTCGAACAACTTTGTTAGGGTCTGGTTCTTTTTTAACTGGTATTCCATTACAGTTATGACGATATTTGAAAGTGTATTTTGTTAAATATTGTTTACACTTTGGACACTCCACTTTTTCAGTTGAGTATGTTTTAGATGTTAATTCTTGTTTTGGTTCTTCTTCTTCTTCTTCTACTTTATTATTTTCTTCATTTATAATATTATTAGTTGCTACTTCTTTCCTTTTTTCATTCATAATAGGTTCTTCTTTAATTTATTCTACTTCTTTAGGTGCTTCATTATTTTCACTGCCTACATCTACTATTTCAATATTTTTAACCATATAATTAGTATATAATACATATTTATATTACAATGTGTTAATATAATTTGTATATAATAAATATTTATATTAAAATATTGTTTATATGATTTTCAACTCTCAACAAATGTTAAACTAAAACTACTGTCTGCCCCATGTAAATCTACAGTTTTACCAAAACTATCAACATAATTGAAATGTAAGCGTCTTAAATGTCTCATTGAAACATCATTAGCGTCATTCATTAAAATCTCATTATCATAGATTACATTTCCAAAACCAGCAGTAATAGGAATTGTCTTTAGTACACGAGCAACTCCATAAGGTGCTAGTTGGTTGCCATTTGCTAAAAACTATCACTGGTTAAGTAAATAGTTTTCATTGGTAATAAATTAACAAAACCACTAACGAAAGGGTCAGGTGCAATATTGATTTTTTCAACAGTGTTTCCTAAAACATTGTTAATAGACATTGTGTGGCTTCTGTCATAATCAATGCTAAAACCGTAGTTAGTGTGCAATTCTCTATCCGTATGAATTACGAAAAAGTAAGAAACATAATTAACAGTTATAGTTATAGTATTTGTTTTTAATGAATAACTACAACTAAAAAAGTCGCTATTTCCATCAGTTCCATTAGTAGCAGTATTCAATTTATTTTGTAATTCGGTTGCTAATTCACTACCTACATAACTACCTTTATCTGGTGCTACAATAAAATAATATACTGGTGCTCCTGTTAATATTCCTCCTAATGTTAAATATAATCTATTATTTACATTTTCTTCAATAGGATAAATAGTATTAGGTAGTGATAATTCGTGGACGTATAGTTTTGTATTTGCTCCTGTTTCTTGTGTTTCTGGTAAATCTATAACAAAGTCAGAAGTGCTCACACTTTCGTTTAGATTTCTATGTCGTGTATCAATGTATATTTTATAAATCTTGCCATAGTTATATTAATTAATTAGATAAAAACAAATCAGTGTTTAATATAATGAAATATAAATATTATTTAAAAGAAGGAAAATTAAAATCATACAATCCGCTTCATCAAGGTCATAGCGAAATGTATAGAAAACAATATTAATGAAATTCAACAAGAAAAGTCATTATTCAAACCTAAATATAACAATAATTTATCTGACACAGAAGGATTAAACAAAGCATATACAAACGGTAAAGGTTATTATTTAGATAATAATAAACTATATGTTGCTGGGACATTTGGTAAGTCTAATTTTAAATCAAATATTAATGATATTTTAAGTCATATTACAATTCCATTTGGCTTAAGTTCATACAGTCAAAGGTATAGAGATATTAGTGATATACTTGATGAAAACCAATATTAGTGAAGTTATTGGTCATTCATTGGGTAGTAGTGCGAGTGCTAAATATTTACAAAATAACCCTGATAGAAATATTCATTTGAACACTTCTGGCGCCCCTTTTATTTCAATGTCAAACAAAAATAATGACAACTACACAAGCATACAAAATTTTGGAGATATAGTCAGCATTTTAGATAGGGGCAGTATAACATCAAATAGAGGAGGTTTTAACCCATTAACAAATCATCAACACTCATTATATGGTGATACTGGCAAGGATGTATCAAGAAGTATTGAACCCGTAAAGGAAATTTTGTAGTATTATATATAATGCCTAATAATGATATAAAAAATACTATAAATCCTAAAAAGAAAGTCAGTTATGATGACATTAAGAAAATAGTAGAGGATGAACCTAATTATAAGGTTGAACATAATAATATGAAAAATAAATCTAAAAAACTATTAAATAAACAATCTAAAAAAGAAGTTATAGATTATTCGCACTTTAAAATAAATTAATTTAATAATAGAATAATATAAATATTTTCTATTATCAAATATATAAGTTATGGAAACATTAGATATTGAAGATGTACTCGTAGAGAAGAACCTTCGCTTTAAATTAAAAGATGGCGGTTCTTTTGTTCGGTCAAAAGAAAGTAAAAACTGTTATCCTTCGTCGGTTTCAACATATACCGCTGATACAAATTCAGTAATTAGATTTAACATTACTGGACCACCTAACCAATGAATTTCACTTCCTACACTATTTTTAGGATTTACATTAGAAAATACTGACGACAGCACGAATGCTGAAGCTGAACTACGCCCCATATCCGCTGGTGCTTTCTTTTCAAGAGTGAGAGTGATGATGGGTGATGTAATAGTATGTGATTTGAATTCTACATCTCGCGCCGATGCTATGAAAGATTTACTTAAAACATCAGAAGCAAAAAGAGCAGATGAAGTTTTAGGTTTTGGAAATTCATTTAATAATAACGATGTTAGATTTCTAACTTATACTCAATTAGCGGCGAACCCAAGCGCTAATAATGTTGCAAGAGTCACGAGACAAGTCACGGAAGATAATAAAAGAGGCATTGCGAAAAATAAAAGCGCAAATGTACTTTATGATATGAATGTGAAATGCTTTAAGTCTTGTGAAAACTGGATACCGCTATCTTACTGTCCTATAACCATAGAATTATATTTAGTGAATGATGCTACATTACCAATTATTGCACAAGGCGCCACTTCTGCTTTCACTGCTACAAATACTTCTAACAAATGGGCAATAAAGAAACCAGTCATTAAAGCAACAGGCGTCTATTCGATCGACGATTCTCTATATGCCGAATATTCAAAAATTTTAGAAACTGGTTCGCTTCCAATTACATTTGAAACTGAAACAATGCAAGAACAAACCACATCATCAGAGACTGAAATATTTACAACTATCGTAAGGAATGTGTCTAAACTAAATAAA